TCCAGTTTTCACTTTACATTTGTTGCTTAGTTTGTTTGTTTGTTTTATTTAAATGTATATCTTTCAATTGCATTTTATGCGCACTGAGCCGATTTTTTTTTTTCTTCTCTAAAAATTGGCTCAATTTCGTATTCGTAAACTCTGCTTTACTGTATCAGCGCGCGTCATACATTTTCAAAGTATTTTTTTTCTTGCTTTTTACTAAAGAAATATTTAACATTCCTTTCTGGCGTTGCAATTACTAAGAGAACTCACGGTGAACTGGTTTGTATCGCTGAAACGAATGGCTTTTTATTTGCAAGGCTCCAGTGTATGTAGGCTGCCGAGTTAACAGCGGCTCGCTCATCTCAATTGAGCGCAGTGGAGCTTAGCGATCGAGCGTTTTGAGAGTGCTAACAGATCTTTGGTTCTCGTAAGCAGTGTTGCCGTTGTGCGACTGAAGGGCAATTATACCCTTTTTAGGCGCCAATATCGTTTGACCGGACTTTTTGAAAATTTTGATTTTTTGACCCTTTACCAAAATTATGGGCGACTTTTGCCCCTTTTCAGAGATTTCGTTTTGGACCCATGCTATTAAAAAGTATTTTCCCCTGTAAGTAGAGAAAAATGCACTACTTAAAACTTTTAAAGGAAATGCAACTCTTCTCCTTGCAGCAACTCAATTTCTATATTTTGTTTAAAGCTTGTCCCGCTATTTTCTTCTTAAATTGAACAGCGGAATGTTGTAGCAGCGAATAGACTTTATAATACATGTAAACTTGATTTTGACTTGGGAGCTCAGACTTTTTTCCTAGTAAAGAAAAGCAAATATAATATGATGACCCTTTTTTCGTCAATTAGCCCTTTTTTGTGATTTTCTGAAAATTCCCAACGGCAACACTGCTCGTAAGCAGTTACTTGGTGCACTTTAACAGTGTGCTAAGTACCAGCTCAGCTATAGGGTAATGTTAAGTGGATGAAGAGCGCGAAGGCGTGTATGTACGTATATCGAAATGTCATACCAAGTAAATGAGCCGATCATTTGCCGAGAAAAGAGGGCGTGAGTGACTAAATAAAAAATTGAATTGTTAATTTCAGCTATTGTACATACATATACATATATATGTCTATGTCTGCAAACA